TCCATTCTTAGCAACAAAGATCTTGCCTTCGGATCTGTGATAGAAGGTGTACCCAATAGTTTCTTTTGGGTATCCTATGAAGACGCACTTCTCTGATTAGGTTCGAGCTTATCAGGCTGAAGCTTTTTCACGTAAGTATTGCAACCCCAAACTTTAAGAAACGACAGCTTAGGTTTCTTGCCAAACCACACTTCATACAGTGTCATCTCAACGGATTTAGATGGTGCCGTATTTAACGTGAATGCAGTTGTCTCTAATGCATATCCCCAAAACGATAGTGGTAAATCTGTAAGAGACATCATAGATCGCACCATATCTAATAAAGTACGGCTACGACATCCGGACATACCATTATGCTGTGGTGTTCTAGCTGGCGTGAGTTGTGAAACTATTCCACATTGTTTTAAATGAAGGCCAAACTCGTAACTCAAATATTCGCCTCTGCAATCAGATCGTAGAAACTTTATTTTCTTGTTATGATGATTCTCCACTTCACTCTGAAATTCTTCAAATCATCTGTGAAGGTCAGAAAATAACAATACCCGCCGCGAGCCTCAACACTCATCAGACCGCATACATCGGTATGTATTATTTTCAATATGTCAGTGGCTCGCTCCATTGTTTCGGAGAATGGAGTCTTAGTCATCTTGCCCATGAGGCATGGTTCGGAAGCATCAAATGATTCATAATCTAGTGATTCCAAAAGTCCATCCGCATGGAGTTTTTTCATGCACTTTACACCAATATGACCTAAACGGTTGTGCCACAAATATGTTGCACTATAATTATCAACTTTGCATCTTTTGGCATCAATATTATGAATATGTGTATCACCATGATCGAGATTCAACAAAAATAGACCACTCTTCAAGGGTGCATGACCATAAAAGATATTACTCATATAAATAGAACAACCATTATTCTCTGATTTAAATGAATAATCGTCTCACATCAAACAAGATCCAGATATAATTTTCATGCTCAACGCTGGCACCAAACAATTATTCAGGTCTAAAACTAATCCCGAAGGTAGATGTAGAGGTAGCATTCCGATGGCGATCACATCGACCTTGGAACCATTCCCGACGCGCATTGTCACCTCGTCCTTAGCCAATATTCGTTTAATCCGTAGCCCCTGTTTCAAGTTGCAAATATGAGCAACAGAACTAGTATCAAATACACAGGCACTACAACGAGCATTAGTAAGGTACACATCAATAACATGTATATCAAATATACCTTTATTCACTTTGCGATCCTTCTTACCGCCAAATACTTGGGGCAGTTCCGCTTCAGTGACCAGTCCCTTTGCAGTAGAAGCACTCAGTTTCAGGCTTGGGTCCAGACTTGGGCTTCTTCCCAGGAGTGACAACTTGCTTACCATTCTTCTTGAAGTTCCCCTTCTTTCCCCTGCCCTTTTTCTTGAAACTAGTGGTCTTGTTAACCATCAACACTTGATGCTCTTTCTTGATTTCTACCTCCGCAGCTTTGAGCGTAGCGAAGAGCTCGGGAATTTTCTTATCCATCCCTTGCATATTATAGTTCATCACGAAGCCTTTGTAGCTTGGTGGCAGTGATTGAAGAACTCTGTCAATAACACTATCGTCCGGAAGATTAACTCCCAGCTGAGTCAAGTGGTTATGATACCTAGACATTCTGAGTATGTGTTCACTGACAGAACTGTTCTCCTCCATCTTGCAGCTATAGAACTTGTTGGAGACTTCATATCTCTCAACTCGGGCATTTGCTTGGCCCTCCATGAAACCGAGTCTTCGATGGGCGATCCTGTGACATAAATGGCTTAGACTTTGTTTGTCATCTCGCGATGACCTGTCGTAACACGAAGAAGCAGTTGTTCACCGTGGCCTACCCCGTCTCAGTGTCGGTCAATGCCCTAGACCGTAGGGGCCACCGGATGGGTGCTTGGTCTGTAGAACCGGGCGAGGGCCATCAGATAGGTGCTTGGTCTTTATTTTCCTATGACATCACACATGATTTCCCATGCCACTTCCGGGCATAATTTCATGTGGTGCCTTGGAGATCAGGAATTTTCGGTGATGAAACCCTAGCAGAGCAATAAATTTCTCGAATATTGCACACGTGCC